AACTATTTAATCTTTTAGAGAGTAAGTTTTATGATTAATTATCAAGTTATTTAAAATTTAGCAATTCATTAAATAATCTTTTTATTTTATCATAATTTAGTACGTGAGTATAAAGATCATTTATTAATCTATATATTTAAAATCTGCAATTCATATTTATAAACATTTACCAATTACATGATCTTTTTATTTTATCATAATTTAGTTAGTAAGTATAATGATCATTTATTTAATCTATAGATTTAAAATCTGCAATTCATGTTTATAAATATTTACCTATTAAATAATCTTTTTATTTGGGTTAATTTAGCCTGTGAGTATAAAGATTATTTATTAATCTATGTATTTAAAATCTGCAATTCATATTTATAAATATTTACCCATTAAATAATCAGTTAATTTAGTCAGTAAGTATAAAGATCATTTATTAATCTATGTATTTAAAATCTGCAATTCATGTTAGATAATATTATATTTATTTATATACATATGTAACAAAGCAAAAAATTTAAGTTTCACATAATATAACCTATAATAAATTAATTTATATCTCTGTACTCACTGCATTTTTACGATAAAATAACAAAACATATTTAAAATTATTTCAACGATGATCTCTAAAAAATCTAATATTACTCAGCCATTATGGCGCACAAACCTGGTACACATTTTCCGGATGCTTAAGATTTGCTGTAATACTATAATGCCATATGAACTTATAATACCTGGGTGTCACCAAGGCAAACTAGTCTTTGGGCTTACAAGTTTATTTCTTGTCATTAAAATCTGATATATTTAGTTCGATGAATTATAAACTTCAAAGCTCGAAGTCTGGTCTGTATGCGAAAATTCTTGCTGATCACTTCAGATGAATTCTATCAACTAATCAGATTGCTAGAATCAACTATATGTACTATATGTATAAATGCGAAAAAAAATTCGAGTATCATATAAATGGCATATCACTAATTATAGTATTCAGATATTCTGAAAATATATTTACAGCATTTTGCTATAATTCAGTAATCACCTCTGAGTATTACCTGGTTATATCTACTCGGGTAGCCATAATCACTATCTGGATATCTGATTACCCATGGGTAACCTAGATAATACCCGACCTGAGTACAAACACTATTATATACATATTATTTTTTATTTTTAATTTTTTTCTTTTAGGTTAATTTGCTAAGAAATTCTGAAAATAATGTACAAAATATGCAAGTATTACATGATAGATTAATAATATGAAATAATATTTATGCTATAGTTTATAATGTAATGAAGACGTCTGCTTATTTTGACAATAATAAAATTCATTCCTTAGAAAAGTAGCAAAAGAAAATAATTAGTAAAGGTAGGATTTGTTTATTTAAAAAGTATAATAAGATAGATAATATTGGGTTTGTATTTATGTTTCAAACAAAAGAGCAAAGGAAATTAATGAGTCTTGCTCAAGTTGTATGTTTAGATAGTATATATAGAACAAACTACTATAGATATCATCTGTTTATACTTATTATATAGCATCCAATTGTAGATAGTGAATACCTAATTGTATTTTTAATAAATGAATTTAAGTGAATATTAACATTAAAAGTGTGGTTTGATTTTTTAAAACATGAAAATAAGTAGTAGAAACCAGATATTTTTATAGTTGATAATGCAGAAGAAGAAATCAAGGTATGCCAGGTGTCTTTTCCTGATAGTTCTGTGTATCTATGCTATTTTCATGTTTTAAGATCTTGGTACTAAAAATTTAGTTATAAATATAGTACAGATGATGATTTATACGAAATCGTTTAGGAAGACCTCTGGAAATTATTGAAGACAGAAAGATGGAATGATGCAGAGACCAAAAAATATATTAGAGAAATAATTCAAAAATAGAAAGAAATAGGTACTGAAAAAATAAGTAATTTTGCTGATTATTTTGATCGTTGGTGAAGACCAAAGTATGAAATGTGAATGATTTGTATAAGAGAAACTTCTAGAGATTCAATAGATACAAATAATCTAATTGAATCATTCTATTATAAATTAAAATTTACCTATATGAGAGGATGACCAGGCAAGAATTAAAATCAGTTAAAATTTTAATTTATTAACTAATTATATACTGATTATATTGTTAACTATTAACTGACTAGATTTTTATTTATTTATTTATTTATTTATTTTTATTTATTTTTTTTTTTAATTCAGCAGTTATATCAGGACTTTATTTAGATTTGCTTTCTGTTTGAAAATAACATTATTTAGCTATATACAAACAACTTATCTTATAGAAAAAGAAATTTAATATACCAGACTCATTCTCTCACTACCTTAAATATATAACAAAATTCTCTCCAAATACTCTAATTCCTCTAAACATCTTATTACCAGATTTCAAAAACCATCCTACACTCTCTCAACTTCTAAAACTAGAAATCAAAAATATTAAAACTCTCATTAAAAAAGAGCTCTACAACTAAACTTCTGCAGAAATTGAATCTAAACTCAAAGAAAGAAACCTAAACTTCTCACAAAATCTTAAACTCTTTTACAAAAAATTCTTAGAAAAATCTATAAACAATATTTCAATTGACAGACTACACTCACAAAATTCTCTTTTAACAAACCCAGAAGATGTAAAACAAGTACTCTATCAACACTTTTAGAAATACTTCCAAGAACTTCCTTCATCTCTGATAACTCCAGAATCAGAATTCTACAATCTATACAAACCAAATTTAGAAAATAAAAAATACTTCTACAATCTATTAGATGATATCACCTTAGAAGAACTCCAGAATACTATCAAACAACTTCCAAATTAAAAAGCTGCAGGTCCTTTCGAATTAAACTATGAACATATTAAATATCTAAATCCTAAAAGCCTTACTACACTTTGTCTCTTTTTATTCAAATGTCTCCAACTACAAACTATACCTATAGACTGGAAAACATCAAATATCTTTCTCATACCTAAAAAATTAGAATGAGATTATACTCTAAACCAAATCCAACCAATATCTCTCATAGAACCTATAAAGAAATACTTAACTAAAATCTTTACAAACTGCCTTGACCAAATCCTAACCAAATTCAATTTGCTAAACAACCTAAACTTTGCAGCTACAAAAAACTCTTCTACTCACATACCAATTCAAATCCTTCATAACACAATCGAATACTACAAAAACACTAAACAGGAAGCTTGGATATTATTTCAAGATATGTCTAAAGCTTTCGACAAAATAAATTTAAATCGACTAATTGATGCATGTAAAAGAATAGGCATCCCACAAAATACTCTTAACTTTATATATAACCTCTACTCAAACCGCAAAGCTAGAATTATTACCACATATGGTCTTACAGAACTAATCACTCTTTTCTCAGGAATTAAATAAGGAGAAATATACTTACTACTTCTCTGAAAAATTTACTATGATCCTATTCTAACTTTCATTAATAACAAATATCAAACTAGCTTTTTCCAAATCAAATCCTCATCTCCAATTGACCAAATCTTTAACCAAAAACTATCTCTACTAATAATACCTCCTCTGGTCTTTATGGATGATACAGTATAACACTGCAAAAATCCAACAGATCTCCAAAACCTCCTGAATGATGTTACTAAACTTTATCAGATAAACAATATTCAAGTCAACCCAAATAAATCTGACTTACTACATATCTCTTCTAATAAAACCAAACCTACCTCACAACCTCAAATCTTCTTTAATAATCAACAAATACAACCTCGAAAACCAGAAGAAACAATCAGATATCTTGGCATCTATTATGATAGCCAAGGTTCAATCAAACCAACTCTTGAAATAATTACTAACAAAATTCAACAATTCTGCAAACTAATCAAATTTAAAAAACTCCTTCCAA